TATGGCATATCAACATATTTGTATATTATACTAATATTGTTCCAAAAACTAAAAGCATATTAGTTTCTTTTTTTTTTTTTTTGCTAAAATGTGAATTTTAATATTAAAAAATAATAAAAGAAATCACACTTTAAAATAAAAAGGAATAAAACAAATTGGAACAAAAGAAATGAATCAATGAAACAAATTTTAAAAAAAAAAGACAAAGGAGATACGGAACATAATAAAATTATAAAAAAAGCCCAATACTATTATCTCTAATAGACAAAAACATATTATTATTTATAATGTTAAAGTTGGCGTGAAAAATTAAGAATAAAACTCAATAGAGAGTAATTTAAGATAAAAAATAATTAACTTTGATTACAAATTGAATTGAATTTATTTATATAAGGTAAGAGTAATAAATATTTAAAAGAGAATAAATGCAATAATCTAAATGAAATAAATTTATTTTTTATATTAAAAATGAATCAAATCAAATCAAGTATATTGATTTTTTTTAAATTAAAAATATATTTATTAGATGATACATGGTGTTTATTCATGATTATACACGTGTTAAAAAGATAAAACATCCACATTGGATTTTTTCCTTTTTTGTCAAAGATTTTGACTTTTATATATTTATATATGATATATGATTTCATTTTATTAAAGTAAACATTTGAAAAGTTTTATTAATTATATTCATTAAAATATATAAAAAATATAAATATTTTCAAAAAAAAAAAAAAACACATTTAAATAAAAAAATTGTCATGCAGCAATCGGTGTCAAAATTTCTAATAGCATTAAGAAATTCATAAAACCTTGGCAATGAAATTAAACCATAAGGTCAAAGAAAAAGTGTAGCTAACATTAAATTGTTAACAATGTTTTTTTTTTTTTTGGTACGAGGATGCTAGATGTTTTATACACGACAAGAATAGTTCTTTCATTTTTCATGAAATTTTGTCATTGGCGAAAATGAAATTCGATTTTAAATCTGTATTATATATAATTACAATAAAAAATATTTTTGAATAATCTTTTTGAGTAATACCATGCACTAAAAGGACTTCTATCTAGCTCAAGCTTTTTACACAAGGAATACTAGCAAAATAAAAGTAGAAACATAACTCCATATTTGAGCTGGTTTATCCGCAATGAGAAATTTCTAGCCAAAAGTGATCAACCTAACAGAATTGAAGCTTTGTCTCGTAGCCATTTTGGAAGTAGAAATAGCTCTTCCAAAGTTTCCCATTTTCTCTCATTTTTATTGCATTTCGATGAATATAATAGTGATAATTATCGATTTGTTAAGTCTATTATTTTTTTATACCTACATCGATCTTTAATGAATAAATAAAATATCTTATCATTTTAATCCAAAAATTAACATTTAAAATGAAAATTTTTTTATTTGAAGAAGAGATACTCGAATTCTATTCTTTTAATACAAAAATATATATTAATTATCAAGTCAAATTAATGAATATTTTAATCTTGCAATTTTAATGTTTAGGGACCTGCTAGTTTACCAAACAGTATCTAATGCTTACGGATCCATCCAGGAATGCCACCAAACCTACAATAGTCAATGGTCAAAATTAAGTGAAGCAAAAAACATGATGAAAGAAGAAGAAAAAAAGCCATATAAAACAAGGTTAAATTGGTTTTAAAAGAATTTCTAAAGAAAAATGAGTGTAAATTGGCTTCTTTCTTCCTCACATTTGCTGTTGACTAATTGAGGAGAAAAATTTGTTTTTTTTTTTTTCTTTTGCAATAAAAGATTATTATAATGCACTCAAATTTTAAATTTGTACATGTTTCAATGACCTTAAGATTAAGTAGAATTAATAAAATGAAGCCTTTTCGAAAGCTAGTTAACAAAAAATAAAAATAGATTATTATCTAAATTAAAAATGTAACCATTTAGAATAATGGTAATAACTTTTTTTTTTTTTTATAAAAAAATTACAATCTAAAAATAAATTAAAAAAATTATAAGTATTAAAATTTAAATTTCTAATTTATTGCATGTGATTTTTTAAAAATAATTATATGAATTAAATTTTAAAATTTTGAAAGTCAATTCATAAAATATAATCCTCTTTCATAACTTGAAGAAACTCTCATGTATAAAAAAAACGATAAATTTGTATAAAATAATCATAGCATAATTTATTTGATTCAGTTGATTAATTAATTACTATATGTTTTTCAAGATTTGTTGTCCAAAAATCGTTGACGTTTAAAGTAGTAGTTGATTGACCGATAACCTACAAAAGCTAATACGATCTGTCAACGAAACGTAACTAAATTTGAACAAAAAAATATATACACTAATAAAAAAATGCAAAATTATTTTGTTAACCAATAAAGTGCTATCAATACCTTTTTTTTTAATTATTTTTTTATTTTTTATTTCATTGGGATGGGCAATCGGCTAGATTTTAAAAAATTGAAACTTGAATAGGCACAGAATGGAGGTTTGATGATAGCAATTTCCTAATCCCTTTTTTTTTTTGGTAAAAATAAATAATAAATATGTAAAAATTAAAGCCAACAAAAGCATTTTTATAAAAATTTTGTAATTATTCAAATAAAAAAAAATTATATAATAACTCACTATTTATAAATATAAGTTTCATATAAAATTTTAATAAATCAGATAAAATTTTAAATTATGATTAATTAATTAGAGCGTAATAATAATAAGTTACATGTTTTCTTTTGATTTTATATTATTCTTCAACGTCTTCATTTAATTGTAAATACAATAAATTAACTTGTTAATTAAATCTAGAATGAATTGAAATTATTAATTAAAGACTATTTTGGCCCATGGAAAAAATATTCCTCTATTATTAATCACATACTATTATTTCCTAGTGACCTAATTTCTAAAGAAAACTCTTACAAGTGAATGCTTAGTGCATAAATTTTTTTTTTCTTTTGAATTCAAAAGTTGGCTTCAATCCTCTATTTTTTTTATATAAAATGTTATATCTCCTTTTTAGCTTTTTAAAAAGGTCATTATTTAGGAAAAGACAATTATTTCATTATACTAAAAAAATAAGAGTTTCTAAAAAAATGGTACTAACTTTTTAATTAATCATATTTAGGGTAAATGGATACGAAAAATAGAAAAATTTTTCAAAACTATAAAATATATTTTAAAAAGTTAGAAAAAAAAAAAAAACTCTACTTATTATGGGTTTTGAGTTTAATTTTTTTTCGTACAATTGAAAAATATTAAAATAATAAACAAAGTTTTTGGATGTTTAACTTTTGACGTGGAAAGAATAAACAACTTTTGGGTTGTTGGAAATTGAGAAATTTTCAAGTCCTAAAAGAATTAAAGAAAGATTAAAGGTGGGACGGAAAGCAAAGGGGTCTTTTTATTTTTTCTATTACAATTATTAATTTATTATTATTATTATTATTATTATTATTATTATTATTATTATTATTATTATCACCAACTCTTGAGTATTGACAGACTTCTGGATGCCTCTAGCACTGCTTAAATCCATTGAAAGCAGACTCATTTCTCACCAAGTTTAAAGACAAAATTAAAACATGGAAATCTAAAATTATGATAAACGTGTTTCTTAAAACATGTTCATTTTGGGGATACCTCTTCAACTGCCCCTTTGCTTTGGCCTCACTCATATTTATTGGTTCAGATATGATTTTTTTTTAAGTCAAACTTCTTAATTTAAGCTCCAAATTTCAATTTTTTTTATAAAAAATTTATATAATTCAACTGAATAGAATTTGGAATTTAAATTTGGAATTTATTTTTTTTAAGTTAAATAACAAATAAGGTGATTATTGTCATTGAGATATCGCTAATAAATATCATAACACAAATTTATTCACTATTACACTTGAATTTCTAGTAGAAGAATGTGCAATAAGTGGTCTTGCTATTATAGATCTTAATGAAATTTAACTACTTGTTGGATTTTCTCGGCCTCTTCAATTTTTTGAGTTCTCATTTAGAAAACCCCATTTTGTTTGTTGACATTCATAATATTTGTGCATACTTAGAACTTCATTTATGATTAATTCTACTACTCTGGTAGGTAAGTACTATTAAATTAGCTTAGAATGAATGAAAGTTTAATTTAATTAATTTATAGAGTTATTTTTAAAAGATTATATTTAACATATATAAAATTAGAATCTCAATATTTATAATATTCATTTTTTTATTCTCAAATTGTAACTTTTTTTTATAAAAATATAGCTTTAGAATAATTAATATGCATGAAGATTTTCTTTTTCAAATATAGGAATTTGGTGTCAATATTTTTTAAAGTAAAATGATTGTTGATTAATTTATATAATAATAAGAGGGATTGAAAATGAATAAATCATGCATTTGAAAAAGGAGATTTTTTTTTTTGAAAATTTTATTATTCTCTTCAACTCTCTCTATTCTTATAGTTATTTTATTGAAAAAGATATTATATATAAAAACTCTTTTGAACTTGCATCCTTTGAACATTAACTCCTATTTGTTAGTAAACAATTGCATGGCCGTCTCAATTTTTTTTACATGAAGATGCAAAACCCAAAACAAATTACAATAATGCAGTACAGTTAAAAAAATAAATATATATTTAATACATTATCGATATATAAATTTTATATATTATTAATAAATTATATGATATTATTTCATTAATTATTAAATATAAATTTTTAAAATAAATATATAAAAAAATTAATATTTTTTTAAAAATTTACTTATGAATAAAATGATATCATTTAATTTATTTATTAATAAAATAACATTATTTAATTCATTAATAATATATAAATTTATACATAAATAATATATCAAATACAAAAAGACTAACTTATTTAAAAATAAATAAATTTATTTTTTAATTTAATTAATAATTTCAATAAAAAAAAGAAGAGGGTAGGTCGAGTGTGCATGTGCGTTTTATTATTTATAGGCATTTTGGTTGGTATCAATATCATCTTCTTGTCAGTTATAAAAGCTGATAGCCTGAAATTCCCAACCAATCCCTTGAAAAATCTGAAATTCTAGAAAAACCCTTAGGGTACAACATCCCAGCAGCACAGCCCCTGGTACAACACGAGAGAAGCAGAGTGGGTGGTTTTGAATTTTTACTAGAAAGTAAAAATGAAAAATAAAGAAAAGCAAGAATAAAAACGAGAAGTGACGGTTACTGGACATAAATATAACAGTGCCACTGCTCTGCATGCGGTTCTTCTTCTGTGTTTGGGCTTTTGCTTTGTTTTTTTTTTTTTTTGTTTGTTGTAGATTTGAAGTTGTTGGGTTGTTCTCATTTTTGTTCCTGAACAACAATCTAAATTCAAGATTAACTCTTTGAAACTGGGTATAACTTGTTTCATATATTTGCTTAAGGTTTCTTCCAGTTTTGGTAGTTGTTTTTCTTTGGTGGTTGTGTAATGGTTTTTTCTATTTTTGGTTTTTTTTTTTTTTTCCAGCAACTTAAAGTTTTTGTTTCTAGGAGTTTTGAGCTTTAGAGGAAGAAAGATGGGGGACAAAAATGAAGTCTTGGAGGCTGTGTTGAAGGAAACTGTGGATTTGGTAAACAGATCTGAGCAACCTTTGAAGCATTTTGTTTGAAGACTAACGTTATGTTTCATGTTTATTTGAGTTTGCTTTGTTTTTGGTGAGCTATTATCTGTTGTGAGCAGGAAAATATACCCATTGAAGAAGTTTTGGAGAATCTGAGATGTAGCAGAGAAGGTCTTACTACTGACGCTGCTGAGGAAAGGCTGGCCATTTTTGGACACAACAAGCTTGAAGAGAAAAAGGCACTCGATTATCTTTACAATTCATTTTTTTGCTCTAGTTTTCTCAAATTCTGATTTAGGCCTCGTTACTATCTAACAATTTATCCACTTGATTGTTTTATTCAGGAGAGCAAATTCTTGAAATTTTTGGGTTTTATGTGGAATCCTCTGTCATGGGTTATGGAAGTTGCCGCTATCATGGCCATTGCTCTTGCAAATGGAGGAGTGAGTGCTTCTTTTAATGGGTTCTTATATCAAATTCCATTAGGAAATCTTTGTCTTTTTAGGCTTTTTAATGAATTTTATCTTCTATCTCTTGCAGGGCAAGCCGCCAGATTGGCAAGACTTTGTTGGTATCATTACTCTGCTTATCATCAACTCTACCATCAGTTTTATTGAGGAAAACAATGCTGGTAATGCAGCGGCTGCTCTCATGGCTCGTCTTGCTCCTAAAGCAAAGGTATTGTTCCAGTTCCTTGTTATGAGTTTGTAATTTAAAGCTCTTTTAGCTGAGCTTTATATCTGTTATATGCTATATAATGTAATTTCCATATGATTTGTTTGAGTATTTCTTCTTTTTCGTAATCACTAATCAACTTAATTAAAGGTTCTTCGAGATGGAAGGTGGAGCGAGCAGGAAGCTGCTATTTTGGTGCCCGGGGACATAATAAGTATCAAACTAGGTGATATTATTCCTGCTGATGCCCGATTGCTTGAGGGTGATCCACTTAAGATTGATCAGGTAGGTCTAGTATAACAGATGCTTGGTTTACTGTATTCATGTTGATTTATTGAAATCTTAGTTGTTTTTACGTCTTTGTGGTATTTGCAGTCTGCACTAACTGGAGAGTCCCTCCCTGTAACAAAAGGACCTGGTGATGGTATTTACTCTGGTTCTACTTGCAAACAAGGAGAGATTGAAGCAGTGGTTATTGCTACTGGTGTCCATACTTTCTTTGGGAAGGCTGCTCACCTTGTTGATACTACTAACCAAGTTGGCCATTTCCAAAAGGTAAGTAGATTAATTCATTATATTTTTTATACCATATCGGAACTTTTTTTCTTTTGGCTATGATATTAATTACTTCTTTTGATATCTTTCAGGTCTTGACGGCAATAGGAAATTTCTGCATATGCTCTATTGCAGTAGGGATGATAATAGAAATAATTGTCATGTATCCAATTCAAGACCGGCAGTACCGTCCTGGAATTGACAATCTTCTTGTTCTTCTCATTGGTGGAATCCCGATTGCCATGCCTACAGTTTTGTCAGTTACTATGGCTATTGGTTCTCATAGGCTATCTCAGCAGGTTGGTTGGACTCCTTGGAAAATTTTCAATGGGCCATAGTGCAAGGTATTTGTATTCATTAAGGGTTTGTTTCTAATTGCTACAGGGGGCTATCACAAAGAGAATGACTGCAATTGAAGAGATGGCAGGCATGGATGTCCTTTGCAGCGATAAGACCGGAACTCTGACGCTGAACAAACTTACCGTTGACAAAAATCTTATTGAGGTCTGCTGGCAGATGATTTTATTTATTGGTTTCAGCATGTTTCCTCCTTGTGCAGAAGGTAGCTTCTTGTTTGTAATTGTGTCTGAATTGATGTCTCAGGTCTTTGCCAAAGGAGTAGATGCAGACACTGTAGTTCTAATGGCTGCCCGAGCCTCTAGAACAGAGAACCAAGATGCAATAGATTCTGCGATAGTTGGGATGCTGGCTGATCCAAAGGAGGTAAATTAGTCCAATCTTCTGTTGTTCTTATGAGCCATCCATTGGGTTATCAATTTTCCCCTAAATATCTTTTCCTGCACAGTTTTTTTTATCATCTTTTTGGTTCTGACAGGCACGTGCTGGCATTCAAGAAGTACACTTCCTTCCATTCAATCCTACAGATAAGAGAACAGCTCTAACCTATATTGACAGTGATAGTAAAATGCAGAGAGTCAGTAAAGGTGCACCAGAGCAGGTAGCTTGTTCTTACCACTTTTATTCCTATACCTGTCCTTTTTTTTGTTTTTAATCAGGATATCATTCTAATCCTTGTTTGCAAAATGCTTTCTAGATCTTAAATCTTGCATACAATAGGTCAGATATTGAGCGAAGAGTTCACGCAGTCATTGATAAGTTTGCAGAGCGAGGTTTACGATCTCTTGCAGTGGCATATCAGGTTACTGTTATTGTCTGTTTCAATTACTCCTGTAGCATTATGTGTCTAGAGCTAAGCTGCGGTCTCTCTTTGAGTCTTTTGTAATCGAATTCAAAATGTGGCATTCCTGTCATTTACTGCAGGAAGTTCCAGATGGAAGGAAAGAGAGTTCAGGTGGCCCATGGCAGTTCATTGGTCTCATGCCTCTCTTTGATCCCCCTCGGCATGACAGTGCAGAGACAATTAGGAGGGCTTTGAACCTTGGCGTAAACGTCAAAATGATTACAGGTGGGTTTCTTATTGCAGTTGAGCACAAGCTTGAACTTCCAATATGGTTATTGACTGGCAACTACTGCTGCCAGTGAAAAAGTTAATTGCCTGTTTAGTTTAGTAAATGTTTTCCATTTTCCATCTGAATTTTTACATTTAGGTGATCAATGGATAACGGTAACAATTAAATTTAGAAACCCTTGTTTTCCAAATTTCTATAAAATTGGAAAACTACTAAAAATGGTTTTCCAAGTTTTTAATTAAGTTGGAATCCCTTTGTTTTATAGTTTTCCCAATTATTTATCTTATTGTACTTATCATATTTAAAGTATAAATGGAAATGGAAAATGAAAAAGAAAACATTTTCTAAGCCTAAATGTGCCCTAGCTTTCTTCATAACTTTTCTGGCTGAGGTCCAAACTTGAAGCTCACATCTTGGTCTCATTTACATACCAGATATGGTGCAACAGTTGGGGCAAACCTCCCTATTGATGTAATTGGGTTAGTATCTGTTGTAATTGTACATGTTGGAATGATAGAATGATTTAGATAGTTACTTAGTGTTTACAACTTGTTTAGAGGCCAATATGTCATAGATACTTTAGAATATTGATATACCATGCCATTTATATGAATGGTGGGATGAGCTTTGATTTTGTGCAATGAAGCGGTAATTCCTTGGAAGTGATGCTTATATTTATAGTTGTCTACTATGTCAGTGGCCTATTAATTTCAATTACGCATTAGCAAACTTCTGGAGTGCTTTTTTCTTCAGATATTAGTTATACTCTTGCAGATAATGTGGGAAAATAGTTACTGTACACTTTGAAAGTGGGTTCTTAAACTATATTTGGGGATTTCATATGCTGCTTTTAGACTTATCTTACTGTTGTTATTTACTCAAGTATAATGTTCTGCATTCTCCTCTCTTGGGATTATATTGTTGTTCTTTAGTGTTTTAAGCTTTTTGGACTCTTATTCTAAGGTATATTGAATTTTTTCTTAGTACTCGTGATGTTGAGCCTTGTGATTTCCCCTTCTCTCAGGAGATCAACTGGCAATAGGAAAGGAGACTGGGCGCCGTTTGGGCATGGGGACCAACATGTATCCTTCATCTGCTTTGTTGGGACAGGACAAGGATGAATCTATAGCAGCCTTGCCAGTTGATGAACTAATAGAAAAAGCTGATGGCTTTGCTGGTGTTTTCCCAGGTATTTATTGTTTGACATTTGATGTTTGCTTGATGACATTATAAATTGTTTCCCGCATTCTCTAAGTTTGTTCTTAGTGTTCTTTGGTTTCTTTGATTTCCCTAACTGGTGTGTTGGCGCAGAACACAAATATGAAATAGTAAAACGCTTGCAAGCCAGGAAACACATCTGTGGCATGACTGGTGATGGAGTTAATGATGCTCCAGCTCTTAAGAAGGCTGACATTGGTATAGCTGTCGCTGATGCAACTGATGCAGCACGTAGTGCTTCTGACATTGTCCTTACAGAACCCGGACTTAGTGTCATCATCAGTGCCGTCTTGACCAGTCGTGCCATTTTCCAAAGGATGAAAAATTACACTGTAAGTTTTCAGACCCTGATATGTGCTGAATTTTCTCAGTTTGATCTTATAAATGTTATTGTCACCTAGTGATAGCCTTGGCAGTGATATCACAAATTTGTCATGTAATCTGCCAGTTCTTTATCACTGGAAGTGGTTACTTCTTGTGAATGTGCTTATGTTTGTCTTTTTCCTGGGCAGATTTATGCAGTTTCTATCACAATCCGTATTGTGGTAAGTAGGAGTTTTTTTGTTTCTTTCTAATTGTTTCGTTTCTCCCTTCTCTTGTTTTTCTCTTTGAGGTTAAGGGTGTTGAGATGGATACTATTATATGTCTAAATTACTGTATGCTTTCTTGATGTCACAGTTGGGATTCATGCTGCTGGCCCTCATCTGGAAATTTGACTTTCCGCCATTCATGGTGCTTATCATTGCGATCCTCAATGATGGTCTGTTCTTTAATTCTAACTGAAACTTCTCTTTGTTGTAGTTATTGTGTTTGATAAACCATTGAAAATTTAATTTTAATGGTTTAATTTTTCAATGCATTCGATAAATTATTTTTATAAACAACTTAATGGAAGATTTTCAATGAAAAGTGTTAAAAATGCTAAGTAGCTTTGTATTACACATTAAAAAACTTGACAAGTTGCATACTTCATAAAACACTGATCTTGTTTTCATCTTAGTCCCCCCCCCCCCCCTCCCTTCTCTCTCAGCCAGTTGTTCATTTATGTCCATTCCAAGTTGCTCTAGGTTTTATCAAATGCAATATTTTCTGCAAGCATTCATAAACCTTGATTGTTGCTTATATTTTCTCTTTTTGTTGTTTTGTACTGGTATCAACCTACTGAGACTCTTCACGTCAACTGACTAGTTTCATCAAATTTCAGGTACCATTATGACAATATCGAAGGACAGGGTCAAACCATCACCTCTACCAGACAGCTGGAAGCTGGCGGAAATTTTTACTACTGGAATTGTTCTTGGTAGTTACTTGGCAGTGATGACGGTTATATTCTTTTGGGCTGCATACAAAACAGACTTCTTTCCAGTATGATTACCTGCCTTATGGAAGATTTGCTTTAATTTGAACTATAAATTTAATTGTTTGTAAACCATTTAATAAATTCCCTCTAGCATATAATGTTATGAAGTTGGCAACCCAACCTGTCCTGTTTGTGCTACAAAACGTAGGAGGTTTATTTGGTGTTGACTGAAATATGTTAGAAGGTCTGGTGATGGTGATAATGATTATTTTTGGCTGTTTATTTTGTTGTTCTTGCTACTTATCTACCATTGGTCGTGAACTTGTGATGAATGACAGAGTTGATTGACTTGTGTTAACTTGCCAGCGCACATTTGGGGTGCCGACTCTTGAGAAAACGGCTCATGATGACTACAGAAAGCTTGCCTCAGCTGTGTATTTGCAAGTGAGCATTATAAGTCAGGCCTTAATATTTGTAACACGATCTAGAAGTTGGTCTTACATTGAGCGTCCAGGTTTACTACTAGTGGTGGCTTTTGTGGTAGCTCAGTTGGTGAGTCAATTGTCTGTATGTTTGAATTGCCGATCTTTCTGGTAAGGGGGGAAAACTGATCATTCCATTTTATTGTAAATAGATTGCTACACTTATTGCGGTCTATGCGAATTGGAGCTTTGCTGCAATTGAAGGGATTGGATGGGGTTGGGCTGGTGTGATCTGGCTCTATAACATAATCTTCTATATCCCACTTGATTTCATCAAGTTCTTCATTCGCTATGCTTTGAGTGGCAGGGCCTGGGATCTTGTTATTGAGCAGAGGGTATGTATCCCTATGATTTGTTGGATATTTTACCTTTTATACCCCCTCCATTGTTGTTATCATCTTCTTCATAATATTGTGTCTTCTGATGGATCTCTTTTTGATGTAGATTGCGTTCACAAGGCAAAAAGATTTTGGAAAAGAACAACGTGAGCTTCAATGGGCACATGCACAGAGGACATTGCATGGTTTGCAGGCTCCTGATACCAAGATGTTTACTGAGCGAACCCATTTCACAGAGCTCAATCAAATGGCCGAGGAAGCCAAAAGGAGAGCTGAAATTGCTAGGTAAGCAATTCTTCAGATCAGCTTGTTTATCTTGCTATATTCTTCTGTTTATTGGTTGAGTTTCTTAGTATGGTATCGTTGATTTATTGCTGGAACCATATAAGTGGACTGGGGACCTCATTTTATGTTGTCTCCTCCTAATTGAAGATTTAACTGCGAAACGTTTCCTGAGTTCCAGTCATTTGATGTATCTATTATCCTATGTGTGCACATGAAGTATTCTACTTCTAGACAAGTTTAGACAAATTCCATTTCCTTGCCTTGCAGACCTGGGATGTTCCTTGTGCTTGTCGCTGGTTGTCTTCTTTATCTCAGCCATAACGCTTAACCATAACATGCTGGTTTGTTTTTATTTTCTGCCTCCTTCCAGGTTGAGAGAACTCCACACACTGAAAGGTCATGTTGAATCAGTGGTTAGATTGAAGAACCTTGACATAGGCACAATTCAGCAAGCTTACACAGTCTAGGGGAATCATCCAAAGGCATACTCGTATGCACAATGACAGCATTTACCTGCTGTGAGAAGGCAAAATCAGCATGTTCTTGGTTGCATCATGTGAGATGGAAAAGATCCTATTTCTCGCAAATAAGGAGTGCTACAATAACCTTTATCTATGTATCTTTTACCGTCTCCACCAACAAGGAAGCTTATTGTTTTATGGCATTTTATGTTTATATTAGTGAGCCCTCTGGCCTTTTCATCTTTTTGTTCTGTTGTATTAAAACAAACTCTAATAGTCGGTTAGTTATTAATCAACCCTAAATGAACTGTTTGGCACTTATTTGCAAGTGATCTTATATAGATGAAATGTTGTGTGATGGTGGTACTCTCACCAAGTTTGGACTTGCATAAAGAGTTAAAATTTTCACCAGGGATTTTAGTAATGATGCTTTTTTTTTTTAATAGAAGTTGCAGTACGAGAATAGAAAAAGTGGAATTGGAATTTAAACTTTAGATTTATTGGAAGCTTATATAAATTAATTTCCACTCCAAAAACTTCCAATAATCCCTAAGAAAAAAAAAACAACTAAATTCAGAAAAATCCAATGTCAAAATGGAATAGAACCCAAAGCGAAACAAAACTTTGATATCTTTTTGTATATCTTTTCCCCTTTTTTTCTTTTATATTGTGTTAGAATCGATTTATATATAGGAGCTCAAAACCTTTAGTCTGGGCAACAAGAATCAATTCAGTCCTGATATTTTGTGATTTGATTATGATTCGATTTCCTATAACTTTTTTGTTTCATGCTAATTAAGAACAAAAGTCCCAAAAATTCATTCTACCATTATTGTCAAATTCACGATTCTTGGACAAAATTTTTGAAAATTTTTTTTATTTTCTTTCCTTTCCCTTTTTGTTTTTATGTTTATAAAATAAAACAAAAACCACTCGTAGCTCTATTATCGAACCAAGTCGAGGGAGCACATAAAGACCAGCCAATTCATCTATTGGGCTCGTAGCCCACGCACAATCAAAACTATCTATTGGGCTATAAAGCCCAAATTCATTCGAAATCCAAAAACCTCAATAAACATTTTAAAGGTCCAATAATCCAAATGACTCTAACCCGAATAAATTAAACATCTCGATCATTCGATTTATAGCCCCAGATGAAATAGAATGTCTACAGTTATCTCTCTTTACACATTCCTGTGAACAAAAATGATGCAAAAATATAGACAACCATTGTGTTTGGTTCAACTCAAGCAATTTAAAAGAATCTTCTAAATAGAGACATGACAAAAAAAATTTAGAAAACTCCTCTAAATAAAGGCGTAAAACTTACAAGTTCCAAATAACTTCTCTAAATAGAGGTTTAATAAACTCCAAATTAAGCAATGAAATTGGGTTCTTCTATATAAAACTAAACAACTTTAAAAAATGGGTTCCTCTATGCAAAGACTAAATAACTTTAAATAAGAAATAGGTTCCTCTATACAAAGGCTAAACCATTTTTTAAATATGAAATGGGCTCCTCTATACATAGGCCAAACCATTTTTTAAATATGAAATGAGTTCCTCTATACAGAGGCTAAACAACTTTAAAATAATAAATTGACTTCTCTATCTAGAAGCTAAACAACTTTAAAATAAGAATCCTCTAATCAGAGACTCAATGAATAAAAAATGGGTTTATCTAATCACAGGTCAAAAATTTTGAAAAACTTTTTATTCAAAGATTAAAAATCTTACCTCATAAAATTTCTTCTTCATCATTGTGTTCACATTCACTATGTTAGATCTTGAGACATCCTTACTTTAGATAAATGGAATGGACATTCCTATATGTAATGTATGTAATGCAAATAAACTTTTTGTTGTTGTACACAGATTCTTAAGACTTTTTTTTTGAATTCCAAACTTTTCAAGTTTTCAGCAATAGTAAAAAATCAAACTCATTCTTCATTGTTCAAAATAAGCACTCGCTTTATTTCTTAGGGGAAATTTTTTTTTTTTCGAAATCAATATCCTTACCAAGCTTTGAAGATTTCATCTTTTGACCTTTCAAAGTAATGCACAATCTTCTATGATATTATTCAATTATCAATCATTACCCTAATTTGAAGACATATAATATGCAAATCATACATTTCTTTTATTCATTGCAAAGCATTTAAATAGAAAGAAAAGGCAAAGATTGATAACGAGATATAATAATGAATATCTTTATTTGGAAAGGAAACTAGATTACAAATGATGGGTATTGGGATAATTCTATCCACTGGATATGGTAAAGGTAAATAATGATGGCTATGTGGGACAACAATGTCCCAAAATAAACACTCGGATAATCATGATAACATATCTTGGATTCTTTCCAAATACTCAACCAACCATGCCCTCAGCACTTCAGAACTCTTAACATATATTGGCTTTTATGTTGGTGCAACCCGCAAATGATGCTAAAATCTTCTTATCCAAGTTGCCTTTACATGGTTTCAACTTAGATAAACCGCTATTTAGTTTAAACCGCCTTTTCGGGTTTTTTATTTAAATTTTTTTAAGCAAAGTACTTTTTCACAAAATTAGAATTTTTAGGATTTGAAAATCATCTTTATCCATCTTTGTTAAGATTAATGTACGCCCAAAAAAGCCTTTTTACTACATATAACTCTTCCTAATTTGGGGTCCACTTTTTCTTGTTATCATGCTAACTCGAGAGAATTTTTTTCAACACCAACTCTCCTTATTAAAATTGATGAGGTCAGACTTTCTTGTCATGAGCTCTCATCATTTTTTTTTGATATAATTGACTATGACACAGTGTTGCTAATCTTTTCTCCTCAATGAAGTTTAGTTATTCATAGTGCTCTCGAATCCATTTAGCTTTTTCTAATCCTATTTCTCTTAGGATTCTCAAAGATGAAATTTTTACTTCTATTGGTAATACAACCTCCATCCTATAAACAAAAAAAAAAATGGAATTGCTTTGGTAGAGGTGCACACTGACTTTCAATAAGCATGCAAAGCAAAAAGTAACTTCTGATGTCAATCTCTATATGTCTCATTCATTTTCTCCAAAATTCTTTTGATGTTCTTATTTACAGCTTTTGCTACCCTATTCATCTTTGGGTAGTATGGTCACGAATTATGGTGCTTAATTTTAAACTAAGCATGTATCTCTTTGATCATCTTGCTATTTAAGTTCTTAGCATTATTCGAGATGATCCTTTTCAGGAGTCCATATTTACAAATAATTTCTCTTTATAAACTTGTAGACTATCGAGCGTGTCACATTTGCATTAAAAGCTACCTCAACCCATTTAGTGAAGTAATCAATTATCACAAAAATGAATTTATTCTCATTTGATGACTTTGGGGTAATAGGACCAATGGCATCCATGCCTCACATAGAGAATGGCTAAGGTGGTGTCAAAACATGTAAAATAGTAGACCAAACATGGATCTTGTCAGCATAAATATAGTATTTGTAATACTTTCGAGCATAATCAATGTAGTCACTTTCCATTGTTAACCAGTAATATCTAGCTTTCATAATTGGCTTGTCATCATATGTCCATTTGTAAGTGCTCTTCATGCCTCGTCATGCACATCTTCAATAATCTTTTTTGCCTCATCTATATTTACATATCTTAATAACACTTGATCTCAACTTTTTTTATAAAAAACCTTTTCGTCTAAGAAAAATTTCATAACCAATCTCCTTAAGACTCTTTTATCATTCTTCATTGCCTGATCTGGGTATTGCTGATTCTTTAAGTATTATAAGATGTCATAATACCAAGGCTTTCCATCTTTTTCCTCTTTCACATTGGCTTAATGTACCTATATGTCTTTGACATCTAATTTAATAGGTTAGATCTCAGTATTATTATCAATCTGAATCATCGCAGCCAAATAGCCAAGGCATCTACAATTTGATTTTTTTCATGAGGTAAATATTTGAATTGGACTTCCTCAAACTATTTGCATAACTCTAAGATATACTTATGATATGGGATAAGCTTCGAATCTCTTGTCTCTCATTCTCCCTTCAATTGGTAAATAACCAAAGTTGAATCCCCAAGCACTTTTAATACTTTAATCTTTTTGACCAAAGTAGCTTGTAAATCTATGACATAGGGCTCATATTCTATCATATTATTGGTGCAATTAAAGTTCAACCTTGTTATAATAGGATAATAATGTCCTTCAAAAGATATCAGAATTGTCTCAATTTCATGCGTTAAGGCATTAATAGCCCCATCGAAATACATTTTCCATGACTTTTCATTGTCATCTTCTTCCTCTAACTTAGAAACGACCATTAATTCTTTGCTTGAAAAATTAAGTTTCATTGGCTCATAGCTTTCAGTAGCACGATCTATAAAAAATTTCTCTATAACACGTTTTTTATTGCTTTTTGGCTCACATATACAATATCATACTCTGATAGCATTATTTACCATATTGTAATCTTTCATAACAATGATGGTTTCTCAAATATGTATTTGATTGGGCCTAATTTAGCTATAAGCCAAGTGCTATGGTAAAGTATGTACTACCTGAGTCTTTTAGCTATCTAAGCCAAAACATAACATATTTTCTCTAATGATGAATATTTGGACTCATATTTCGTGAATTTCTTACTCAAGTAGTAAATAACTTTTTTTTTACCAGACTCATCTTGCTGCTTTAGCACATATCCTATCGACTTCTCATGTATAGTTAAATACAAAATTAATAGTGTTCCTAGAAAAATGGTATCAGCATTGGAGGATTTGATAGGTAATGCTTAACCTTATCAAAAGTCTCTTAACATTCTCCATTCCATTCACCTCAATCTCCTTGTGCATTACGTTGTGAAAGAGTATCATCATAGCCCTTTGATAGGTTACCTCGACATTTTTCAATCAAAAGGGTATAACTTTGTAACAAAAAGTATCCCACATAGTTATGAATGTGGTTTTCTTCATGTTATCTTGGGCCATTTTTATTTGATTAGAACCCAAAAATTCATCGATAAAAGAGAATACAAAATTTCAGGCTATATTATCCACCAATGTATTAATTATAAGGTAGAAAAAAATTATATTTTGAGCTAGCCTTGTTTAAATCGTGGTAATTTACACGCATTCGTACCTTTTTTTCTTTCTAAAGAATAAGTACTATATTAGCTACACACTCAGGATATTTGGCCACTTGTAAAAAGCCTACATCAAATTACTTCTTTACCTTTTCTTTAATCTTCAGTAGCATTTCAAGCTTTATTCTTCTCAATTTTTGTTAAACAAGCCTACATTTGGGTTTCAAGGGTAGTCTATGCTCCACTATTTTAATGCTATCAAAGTATATCTTGATAGGACTAGGCAAACACATCTATAAATTCTCAAAGTAAATCTTCTAACCTTTGTTTATCAGTTGATAGAAGCGATGTGCCA